CTAGGAACACAGTATTTGGAACACTCATTCTTTGTATCAGCAGCAGAAAGGGAACAAAATAGGCTGGGGAGGTGGCTCTGATGACAAGTACTTGCCACATATGCTGAGCTCCTGGATCCCCAACACCCACATAAAAAGCCAAGCATGTTCACCAGTAATCCAAGTACTAGATAGGCAGAGATAGACAGAATCCTGAAGCTCCTTGACTGGTCAGTTAGCTTAGCTGGAGAACTGAGTCCCAGTTTCAGTGATAGGCTCTGTCTCAAAACCTAGGTTGGAGAGACTGTACAGACGAGGACGACTCTGTGAAGGGCACCTGATGCTTTTCTTAAGGTCCTGGGTTTGGTTCCTAGCACCCATACCAGGTGGCTTACAACTGTCATTACCTCCATTTCCAAGGGCCCTGACACTCTTTTCTGGTCTACAGGGGCACATGGGGCACAGGGCACACATTTTTACATGGAGGCACTTACACATATACATAAAAATCTTTTTAAAATGAGGTGGAGAGCAACTGAAAACCACCTGTTATTGTCATTTGATCTCTACACACACATGCTTGTGTACCCATGCATGTACACACACACACACACACACACACACACACACACACACACACACACACACACAAAATTAGAATTGCTTATAAATCAGGGCTGCAGTGACCATGTGGCTTCTAGATTTCCTTGGGACCCAGGTCCCTTCCATCATGTCCCTCATCATACACAGCCTCCACTCAAAGCTAACTGCATAGTCTCCTTGGCCACTCCAGCTCTGGCTACCTGCATCCCACCTGAGAAGAAGAAAGTGACAGTGATGAGGAGGCAGGCACATGCCAGTCATCTTTTAAGGACGGTGGTTTCGAGATGTCAGGCGACACATCATTTCATCTCATTAGTTGGAGATGGAGCCCAAGAAATGTGAGCTTTGGACCAAGTCACCTTGGGACAGCTAGACATGTAGAGTGCTACTTCAGAGGATAATGGATTATGTGGGATGACTAGTGCTCTTTGGCACACCTCCAGGAAGGTATCTTTAGTCTGCATTAGGGAATGGCTAGCAGTGTGTCTGTTACTCCAGCATTTCTACCCAACCTGACTCAGTGCCTCGGTTTCCCCATAATTCACCTACCACTCCAAGCATAGTGCCTCCATGTGTGCGCATGCGTGGGAAGTACAGACCTTTATATTGTCTTACCCTTACAAGGACACTTGCTTTAGGCTCCCCCTTCCCCTCTCTGTATTCATAGTCTATCCAAATTTGAGTCCAGGCTCCACCTATTTGGAAATGGCCCCTCGCCTCTTCTTTTGTGCCAATAGCCATCCTGTATCCTAAGCTCCCACTAACTCTCACTATCTGTATGTGCATGTGTTTCAGGTAGAAGGTAAGCACCCTGGATGTGGGAAATGTATCCTGACTTTGCATGTAGGCCCAGCTGTGGTCCTAAGAACCCTTCTGTGCCCACTCCCCTTGGACGTCAGGGTTGGGGGCATAAATATACTACCCAAAGCCAGAAGAAACAAACCAGGAACTCAGTTCTGACCACAACTAGCTTTGGAACCGTGGTCAAGGCAACTAGCTTCAGGGCTTTGAGTTTCTTTTCTATAAAAGGAAGAAATGTTTGTCTAACCTAGTTCAGAGCTGTAATAACACCACACACACACACACACACACACACACACACACACACACACACACACCCCACATGCACACACATACAGGCGCACATAATGTAGGTATGTGGTTTGTGTCAGGAATTTTTAAGCAGAAGAAAAATAAATGAACAACTTTAATTAACTTGAGCAAGAAAAGGTCTGTGGGGTTAGCAGGCAGATTTCTCCCAGGGTCTCTGTCTGCTGGCCAGTCTTAGAAGCAAGTGGAGGCAGGGCAGCTTTGGGTGTCTGGGTAGCAGGGACTATGTGACCATCCTGCCCTGGTCATCTTCAGAAAGGAACCAGCTCCCACTGAGTGTCCAACTTAGCACACTGCTCCATGGAGGTCTGGAGAGAGTGGCGGGCTGAGCACTGGTTATGTGACACCTTCCCTTTGAGACTGTACACCAGGTCACCTTGATTTACGAGCCTTCAAGACTACACACAAGTGAGGAAGGTCAAGTCCCCAAAGGACATCAGAGTGATGTTATCAGAAGTGGGCTACACAGGGCAACAAATGTCCATGTCCAGACTTAATAAACATGTGCTGATTGACAGTGACCCCTTTCCTTTGATTCCAAGGACATTTTGCACATAATACAAGCTACTTTTTTTGGACTTGCCCAGAGAACCCCTGGGATTCTTTCTACCTCCAGGACTTAACTATGCAGGAGGCAAGTCTTTTCTGCTCTCTTCATACTGTGCAAGCTCAATTGATTAGGCTTTGACCAACAGCTATTTCCTGCATAAGCTGCCATTTGTAATCAGGCAGGCACTTTGCCTCTTTTGACTCACTTCTTTGTTTTGTTTGTTTATTTTTTTTAACCCATCTCAGAACACACCACATTCCCTGTCCTTACCAACACTTCCTGATTGAATGAAAGGAATGAATGAGTGTGTTAGGAAGGGGTGTTAAAAGGTTTAGATAAAGTGGCAATCTGTATAACTATCTAGATAGGTCCTTTCCACCACAAATAAGGGGCAGGAGCCACCCTTCTCTTCCTAAGCACTTGGGTGGCACCTAGAGACCAGTTGCTGCATCACCCACTAGGCCTGTGTCACCCCACAATCTTTCAGGGTCCTGCCCTGGAGGGACAGGTAGGGGGGAACACCCATCAGGCAGTGGCTTTAGTGACTGTAGCTGCTGGCAGGGAACAGAGGTCATTTTCACCCTGACCTAGTATATCTGTCCTTCTCTGGGACAGCCACTCCTTAGTGAAAAATGAAGAGCAGAAAGCAAAACCTTTCGCAGAGTACGGAAGAAAAGAGCCGTTCATACAGCTTGGATGCTTCCCAAGTGATTGGCTCACATGTGCCCCGTGAGACTAAATACCGGAGCTCTCCAGTGTGTCCAGCGTGACAGAGTCCACAGACCTCATATTTATTTGTTGCTTTTGTTTTTCACAGACCGACAAGTGTCACTGGCCACATTTTACTGGTGAAGAGATGAAGGCTGAGAGCCCAGCTTGGAGTCAAGTCCAGGGTGCTTCCCAGGCAACACAAATTTGTCCACACATGCAGAAAGACTGTATTTTTAAGCATGAAAACCTAAAGGCCTTCTCTTGAGCCCTAACGATGATTCTCCCCCTTCTTGTCATTGGAATGATGCTGTGCTATTGTGAGCAAGAATCGGGGAAACAACGTGTGCATTTGGATTGGATTCAATTGTGACTCTTGGTAGGACTATTTTATTGAAGGTAAACCATATCAGTTTTTCACCTCTGTATTGAGAGAGAGAGAGAGAGAGAGAGAGAGAGAGAGAGAGAGAGAGAGAGAGAGAGAGAGAGAGAGATTTTACATGCAGTTCAGTTAGGCGTTGTTTTGTCTTTGAGTTTGGAGCTGACAGGCTACTGCCACTTCCTTCCCATTTTGACTGGCATTAAGTGAACTCATTTCTCCTGGGCAGGCTTTTGGTTCTCCACTCTGACCCCAGCCTCACTTCTCCCACCACACCACCCCCATGCAGGTCCCTGGAGATGGCAGGAGAAATCTCCTAAGCTCTGATAACTCCTTCTATGTGGGTTTTTTTGGGGGTGGGGATGTTAACATGTTTTTTTACATTGGAATTTTTTCTACATGCCTTACACACAACATGAGCCACTCCCTACACATCTGCCTTGGATGAAGTGATAATTCCATTGAGATTTAGCAAAGAAGCATATAGAGAGAGGCAAAGAAGATTCTCTTCAGCTCAGGTGAGTCAGTCTCTTCTCCATTTTCTAGTCCTGAGACCAATCAACCCACTCCTTCCCATGTCAGTCAAAGGGCTTTGTATGCTCTACTCAGCACCCTCTTCACTCTGAAGAGAGTGACAAGTACCATCTCCATCACTCTATCAGCTCAGCAGAGTGAAGTACCTTGTTCAAGGGCCACACATCACCTAACGAGTTGGAATTTAGATCTGAACAGGTTCCCTCAGAGTTGGAAGGGGAGAAGAACAAAGGACTGAGAAAACCAGTCTCCCCAGGGAAAGCTTGGGAGTCATGAGCAAAGCTTTCTTGGTGCACTAGAGAGAGGTATCTTTTAACCCAAACTCTCTTCTGTGTTAGTGAAAACTTAAATGTAAAATTGTTGAGAACTCTAGGAGAATCAGTCAGGGAAATACACTGGCTGCTACTCTGCTCTCCCATTCTGGTAGGCATTTGTCCATTTGTCTCCAGCTGCTGTGAAATAATCCTTCTGTACACTGTGAATATGTATTACTCTCATTGGTTAATAAAGAGCTGACTGCTGGTGGCTAGGCAGCATTTTGGGGGCAGAGAGAACACTGGGGGAAATAATAGCAGAACCTGAGGAGTCACAAGGAGACACCATGAGATGCAGAGCCGAGCAGGATGGGAAGTGCGTAGATGAGGTAAACAAGCCTTGGGGAAGTACATAGATGAATAGAAATGGGTTAATTTAAGTTATAAGAGCTAGTTAGAGACAAGTCTAAGCTATCGGCTGAGCATTTATAATTAATATTAAGTCTCTGTGTGGTTATTTGGGGAGCACCTGATGGTGCAGAGAAATCCACCTACATCCAGAAGTGCGGCTTCTTCAGCACACCTCCATGCTAATCCCAAGTGAATGTCAAACAGTGCAGGATGCAATCTCGACCATGGGGGAGCTGTAGGGTGATGATGGACCCTTTCCAGAACCTCCTTCTGTGGTAGGGGGAGGCTGGTAGAACTTGGACCTTGTCCGTCTTAGCAAGAGGCTGCAGAACCCTTCCCTTTAGGTTTGACTGCAGCTACTCTCCTCATTTCTTCCAAGTTTCACCACAGCACATCCCCACGGCTTTGCTGAAGAAAACTCCCACATCTCCCTGGTTCCCTGCCCACCCTTCTCCCCAGAATAAACAACAGCTCATTTGTAAGAGGTTTTTAATTTCATCTCGGTATGCCATTAAAGAGTAGAATTAAGGATCTCTGTTTTCATTCACATAATATCTGCTACATTCTCCAACCAATCAGCAACACAGACACCTTTGGTGCTACCTGCACTGGCCTCATTCTCACTCAACGGACTGGTTCGGGGTTCCTGGTGGTTTGTATAAATTATAAAGAAGAGCACAAAAATCACACAACACAGACTCTACCACTAAGGGACATGCTTCCTCTGGCCTTGCAGAGAGTGGATACGTGGGTGTGTTCAAGGCTCTGATGATGTCCCCAGGCATGAGGCCATGCCTGTCACAGCCCCTCTCAGTGGAGCCCTTCTGTCTTCCCCATGACTCAGTGTTTCCCCAGGAGGATCCTAACACAGAAGATCCCATCCTAGCACCATAACTGGAGATCCGGGTCTGGAACTGTCCCTGTGTACAATGGCTGCTGGGTCTTCCTGTGCTCAAGGGCAGCAAAGTGAGTTGAAAGGAAGAGCCCTGGGTACGTGCCTGATCCTCTCTGCTTCTGTGAGCTCTATGGGGCTGTTTATAAACACTCTCTCTAGACTAGGAGCCCTCAAGAAAGAAACAATCAGAGATCACAGGGAATTCAGACTTTCTGGGTGCTGACAGTTACTTTTTAAATGATCTTTTAAAAAGTAAGAACAAACAAAACAAAACAAACAAAAAGCAGATGTGCAAGTCAACACTTGCTCTAGAATTCCGTCTACCAAACTTCTTCCACCTTCTCCGATGGAGCTCTGTCTCCACCCTTTCGAGTTGTGTCTCTGCCATGTGGGCTATGCAGAAGGTTAGGATTTGGGGTACAAGGACTTCCTGCTCTGTGGTCCCAGGTGTCCTCTATCACCAGGTGCATGATCTGGCTGTATTTTAAGCCATATCAGATTTAAATCTCATGTCCTGGGTGGAACCTCAGTGTCCCCGGGGAGGTAGGTGTGGCAATCAACCTCATCCACACTCATAAAGAGGGAGGTAGGTATGGCAATCAACCTCATCCACACTCATTGAGGATGAGTCTTTAGGGGTAGAAACAACCTCGCTGATGCTGCCCAACAACCACGTGCTAAGAAGCCTAAAATCACGTTCAGGGATTGCTCTGTTCCACCCAGGCCCAGTGACTCAACACCAGAGTGAGCAAGAGCCCACAACAGAATGCTGCTAGCCATATGGAGTTGTTTCCTAGACCTCAATGATGCTCTGGAAACAGAACAAACTCAAGCACTCAAAGCTATGGGACCAGGTGGAGCAGGCCTCTCTGCCCTGCCGATGAGTCTCTCCAAACTAAAAATAAAGTTTATAAAAGTAAATTATCTCATTTTATAACTTAAGTGCATCAAGTATTTCCTTAAATACAGTTCACACTGAAAATAAAGTTACTTTTTGCTGTACAGTTGGTGTCTGTTATAATTAGGGATAAACTTTGATGATAAAGTATGAAAGGTTACACACTCACACACTCACACATCTATCTGTCTGTCTATTGGTGTATGGATGAATAGACATACGGCACCTCTTGACAAGCACTTCTCCACAATGGTGGGAAGCTGTTAGGAGTCCCTAGGTATCTAGCTTGCTTGAGAATGTCTATATTAAAAGTCCCTGTCCTTAATGATAAACACATCTTCATATCTAACACTAAGATTCTTATTAGAAACATTAAACTATGCAATCCATAATGTATCCAGTCTTTGGAAATGCTGAGCTACACCATATCATTATACAACAGCATCCCCAACAAACCTCCCTCCCCAGCCCACCTCTTCTCTGGCCTCCCCATCCTAAAGTCAGCAACCCCTCACACAGTATGGTTGTTCCATATGGGAGCCCAGCCACAAAATTTTAGAAGACTCAAGAGGTGAAATAGGAATTCTGCATGGAGTACAGATGGTCAATGGGGTTTCCCACTCTGGACTGCAGAGGTCCTGCTTCTGATGTTGCTAGGAAGCAGTCGCCCAGGTTACTGAGAGAAGTGTCATCACTATCCAGGTCATGGAAAAGAGGTTCAGCACCTGAAATGAAGACGGAACATGGGCATGAGGTTCTGGAAGAGGTAACACCCTTACGTGTTAGGAAATTCAGCTGAACTCAACAAGTGTTGCCGGAACACGTTCTGGGGATGAGAACCTACTAAGTGTTGAGGTATGGGGTGGGGACAATGACACACAAAAGTATTAGGGGCATAATGATAGGGTCTGGAGACTCATAGAGAGTTCATGTCCAAAGCTGGATAAGTATAAAGCCACATGAACTAAGCGATGCACATTGAGGGTATCTACACAGTGAACACGGGATATGCAGGACTCATCACCAGAGGCTGGAGGGACACAGACAGGGATCCTGCATGTTCTCAGCCTCACAAAGGGCTTTTCAAGGATGGACAGTAAGAAACAAATATGGATTCTTCAAGTGAAGCTCTGAACTTTCTGGTAACATTGGTCCTTTCAAGCAGTAGGAGTGTACCAAGGCCCCACTGTCTCTGAAGGTTTGGGCCTCACAGCCAAGGAAGATTAGGCTGGTCTCAACTGATTTGTACCCCTGGGAGAGGGGCCAGGATGTCTCACTGTATCACAGCAGAGGTAACACTGCAACCTGAAATCCACAACCTGGGAGGCCTGGCAGGGCACATCTGCACTTCGAGTCAATGGGAGGGGCAGAAACAAGCGCCTAAAACTACTAGTGAGCTTTGATTATTCATTTTACTAAAAGTTATAAGACATAAGGATTTTCAAAAATGAGCAAACAAACAGAAACCTCATCTGCCCTGCTCTCCCATGTGACAGAGCAAAGATGGTTCAGACGCAACATATGTCTTCTAAAGAGGAAAAAAGATGGATGCCCCTGGGACACACACACACAGACCTAGAATGTACATGTTCCTGAGGTTGGTCAGTAAGGGTCTCCAAAGGCCACACCTAAGTAAGTGTTTGCTGAATCTGTGACATAGCAAAGTAAAGGGGATTTTAACAGCAAAATTGTGTTGTGTGTGTATGTATGTGATGTATGTGCTTGTGTATGCTAATGTGTGTTGGGTACACGTGTGAGTGTGTGCAGGGAGGAGCCAGAAGCTCGTGTCAAATACCGTCCTCTGTAGCTCTCCATCTTATTTGTGAAGGTCACAAAGTTGGTGAGACAGGCTGGCCAGCAAGCTCCAGACATCCACCTGCCTCTGCCCCTCAAGCCCTGGAGCTACAGATATGTGTAGCCATGTCTGATTTTAACATGGGTGCTGGGTATCTGAACTCACGTCCTTGTGTATGTGCAGGAAGCATTTTACTCACGGAGTCACATTCCTGACCATAGCAACAAAAAATATTAAAGGAAAGAAGTTGGCAAAGGGTGTGCATCCTATGTCTCTGACACCAAGTTTTACAGGATTGTTGAACCAAACTTTGTTGTATAATCATCAAGGCAACTTACAGCACATTGCATCATATATTAAGTTACATATTGTATATATATACCACTGCCTTCCTTTTTTAAGATTTATTTTTTTATATACATTGGGGTTTTTCCTGCATGTATGTCTGTGTGAGGGTGCCAGATCCCCTGGAACTGTAGTTACAGACAGTTGTGAGCAGCCATGTGGGTGCTGGGAACTGAACCCAAGTCCTTTGGAAGAACAGCCAGTGCTCTTAACCACTGAGCCATCTCTCCAGCCCACTCACTGTCTTTCTTAATGTAAAGAAGCAACAGTCTTGGATCCCTCCACTCGCTCACTCCATCCCACTAGAGTCCCCAGGCCATATCCTTTGAGCACTGGCTTGAGTGGCAAGATGGACAAGGAAAGGTTCAACAAAGGAGCCTCAAAAATGACGACACATGGAAATATAACCAAAGAATATACGTGGGAATCTTCTAGAGCGATCAGATGGTGCCAGCAATATTTTGTGGGACACTTACTCTTATTTGGTGGTTCAGCAAGTATCTGGGAACTGTGTGGATGTGTTTAGGGAAAATGAGAAGCCCACGCAAGCAAACTGAGAGGGGGGACTCATGGGGACTGAGTCCCTCTTACCGTAGGGGTGCATGTGATCTCCAGGCATCTGGGGGGGAGTGAGACCCTGTCGGAACGGGTCAGCATTGTAGACGCTCTGTTCAATGGCCAGGAGCTGCTGTGGGGTGGGAATAGCTGTGTAGGGGTTCATGATCCCTTCCATTCCAGCGCTCCCGCCACCATTTGTCTGAGCTGTGGAACAAAAAAGAAGACAGATCATGTTCAACTCGCATCCCAGCAACCCACAAAATCCTGCCCTACTACATGTCCAGTGTGTATGATTCTTATGCCATAGCAGCCTGCTGCCCCCAGAGCAGTGACCCAAGAGAACCCAAGTCAGAAAATAACATGTTGTTCTATTTATTTATTTTATTATTCATTTATTTAATCTGTTGTTTGACAATTTCATTCACATGCACAATGTATTCTGAGGGTGGAGGCTAAGAAGAACCTGTCTTATTTTTTATTTATTTACCTATTTATTTATTCTTTGACAATTTCAGTCATTTATATAATATAATCGGAGAGGGTGGGGTGCATCCTTTATGACCCAGTTTTGGAAGTCACACTCTCATTCACGCCTGCTCCATGCTAGAGGTGACTACCCAAGGCCATAGACAGCAGTTTGTAAGAATCATGGAAGACTACCTTGGAGGCTTGTGATTGGGCAAACCATGTGATTGTGGCTATATCACTTTACTTTCCTGGGTCCTATTTTCCTTATTTACCAACTAGAAAGGGATGGGATGGCATCAATATTCCTCATCCTGTGCCTAGCAGAGGCCATGACAGTGGAGGACAGAAATGGAGACTGGGAAGCTGAACTTTAGACACTATATAGGTTTGGCTGCCACTCGATGGATCTAAGCATCTTTCCTGAAATAACCCATTACAATCTCATCAGTCAAGTGGGACTCATGATACTGGACCATTTGACTTCAGAGGGTTGATACACAAATCACATGAAAGTAAGCATGCTCTGCAATTGCAGCCTGACAAGCTTGTGTACAGACATTTATGAAAAGAGGAAATCCTTCCTGCCTCCTTGTCCTCTATATGAGCATGGCTCTATGAACTCCCAGCAATATTTCCCACCAGTTTTGCTTTCCTTAAATCTGCCCTAGAAGCTGCCTTGGGACGTCTTTTAGCAGAATCCTAAGAGCTGTCTGTGTTTCTGTGATGCACTGGTGCAGTGTTCTCCCAAGTGTGTCGGTCTACATGGAATCAATTGGCTTGCCTCTTGCCAAGCCACCTTCATATCTGGGACCCTCTGCAGACTTCGGAGACCCTCTGTGACAAAGATAGCAGACACGATTGCTCCTCTCTGTGGATGGATAAATCCTATGGCATAGCCCATGGAAAAATGGGGTGGTCCCAGATCCAATAACTTTGTAGTGGGGTAGGACTGAGAACAGAATTCAAGACTCCTACTCAAGTTGATGCTCACCCATCCCCAGCAACTGTTGTATCAGCTTTTCTGCGTAGTATATTTACCTTGTACAAACACTGGGGAAAGGAATGATGAAATTTGCAGGCAAATGGATGGAAACAGAAAAGATTACACTGATTGAGGTAACCCAGGCCCAGAAAGACAAATATCAAATTTTTCTCTCATATGTGATGTAGACTTTGAATATTTAGATCTGTGTGTTTAACTCACAGCACCTGGAGAAGTCAAACTAGAATACTACCAACGGGGGAGGGAAGAATGCTTAAGGGAGGAGGGCAAGTTAGAAGACAGGTGATAGGAAAGTAGACCGAGCGTATACTGAGACAGAAAAGGTTAAGCTGGATGGGGGTCAGGGATACGGAGGATGAGAGGGCACAAAGGGTTCATCAAAATGAAGTCTTTGTGATAAAACCATGTGGAAATCAACTGAGATATCCTTCATGGCTAGGATTTGTTGCTCCTAGAAGCCATTGTTCAGCAAACAAGAATCCCACTGGCAGGGGTGGGGAATGCTCTTAGGAGCTGTGGGTCAGGGAGGCCCCAGAGGCTCCCCAAACAGTAGAGGCTCTTGCTATTCCTCTTGGTTGTCCTCAGAAGTAGATGATAGATCCTATTGCAGAAGACATCATATACCCAAGAAATAAAGAAATGAAGCTGGAAATAAGCTGGAAGCTTCCTCTCTGCTGTCTGGCTTTCATAGTGCTAGGAGGTGCTATTCAGTCTGCTGGAGAGGAAAATTCATCACTGGTCTTACCTAGTTGTAAATCCTACAAACTGTGATGCCAACCTGCCAAGCAAGATGTGCCCACTGGTGCAACAATGGCGTGGCTATTATGGGGTAGCCAACTGCTCTCAGACTGGACTTGAGGCATGCCAATGAAGAAAACGCATACCTGATATTGTGAACCTATTAAAACATAAACAATCTGAGGAGGTCAGAGGCCCTACTGGGAAACTTACTACTGTTCTTTAGCTAAATTGATATGACCTCAAACTGCATGCTAAGTCTTTGTACTCACAGGCAAATGATACTCTCAGCCATAGTCAGAAAAGCTTGTCTCTGTAGTGAATGGCAGTGAAGGAAAGAGACCCATGGCTGCTCAAAATGTTGAGAACAAGTGACCATTTTAGTGCTGGACCCTAAAAAGAACATCTATACCACCCCTGAGACCCCTGGGAATCATGAGCCCAAATAAACATTCATTCCTTTTATGTTGATTATCTCAAGAATTTCTCATGGTGGTGGAAAGCTACCAGAAGGGCTAAGTCAGCAGTATCTTTTAGTAATGGATTTGCTTCGAATGAGGAGGACTGGATGAGAAGAGAAACTGGACATGCCTTTGACTTTGCACCTGGTCCTGATACTTGCAGAGTCCAGACCAGGCAAGGGGTGTTGCCACTGTCAATCACCTGCTCTGGATGTGCAGCACGTGCGTCCTCAACATTCTTACAAGTTACCTACAACCCATTTTTCACCTAAATCCATCATCTCTCAAACAGGTATGCAGTTACATGTCACTGATTAGGGATATGTCACTCAGAAAGCTTCATTTGAAGGTCCCAGTTAGGAGAGACCTGGACTAGAGTGAAGACAGGCTGGGAAGAGCCACCAGCTTACCAGAACTCAGCCTCTGGGTGTTCTGCTGATCCTGCTGCTGTTGCTGCTGCCGCCGGGCCAGCTTCTTCATCTGATGAAGAGAGGACCACAGAAAGTCAGAGGCCTGGGGTGGGGGTCCACATGGTAAGGGAGAACAGGAAGGGTGTGACCTTTACCCTTTCGTGAGAGGACTGTTCCTAAAGTAGGAGTGACAGCCCAGCTTTTACTCTGTCCAGGAAGCACACATCAGGCACAGCACCATGACGCGGATGCATAGTGTCAAGGGCTTGCCTACTTAGCAGCAGCAGGAACACAGCTGGCAGAGAAGCAAAGTGCAACTTGTCTTCCCAGAAATAGGGACTTCCTCCCAGGAAGGACCACATGCTGTTTTCTCTGGAACTACTTCATGTGAGGCAGTAAATATGTGGATGTGTGTTTCACAGTCTCAAATAGTTGTGGAGCCTGGGCTGCCCAATGGGTGGGACTTGGGATGAGCCCAGACACTCTTTTGCCTCCTTCCCATCTGCTGGCTCTGTGTTTGAGGCACCATGGGAGATCCGTACTCTGGAGCAGAAACTTGTCCACCAAAGTGACAGTTTCACCCAATTGTTTTTCATCCAATGTTTCTCAACTTGTGCTCTGGGAAACATTAGCATTCCGTGAGATCTTAATATTTGCAGTGTGTGTGTGTGTGTGTGTGTGTGTGTGTGTGTGTGTGTGTGTGTGTGTGTGTATAATACTAGATTATAAAATGAATTCTATTGCTGTAAAATTCTCCAGAGCTTCCGGTGTATGCCTGCTTTGTGAATCCACAGCCCACCACCCCTCACACAGTCACTGCACCATGAAGTCTTCTCTTGGTGGAATTGCAGCACACCAACAACCCTGTTCTGAGGAATACTGTTGCAGAATTATGACTAAATAAGGCAAGTAAATTCTCACCCTCTAAAGACTAGGAAGAGAGCTCAATCTGCAAAGTACTGCTGTGTGAGCACAAGGACCTAAGGTCAATTTTCAAGAACTCGAGCAGAAAGCCAGGGGTATTGGTGTGCACTTTGTAACCCCAGTGTAGCTAGAGTTTTCCTGCCTGGCCCACAGTCAGGACAAATCTCTCTCACCTACCAGTTCCACAGACGCTCAGACCCGACCAAGTAAACATAGAGACTTATATTGGTTACAAACTGTATGGCCGTGGCAGGCTTCTTGCTAACTGTTCTTACAGCTTAAATTAATCCATTTCCATTAATCTATACCTTGCCACATGGCTCATGGCTTACCAGCATCTTCACATGCTGTTTGTCATGGTGGCGGCTGGCAGTGTCTCTCTGATTCAGCCTTCCACTTCCCAGCTTTATTCTCTTCCTTGTCCCGCCTATACTTCCTGCCTAGCCACTGGCCAATCAGTGATTTATTTATTGACCAATCAGAGCAACACATTTGCCATACAGAACATCCCACAGCACCCCAGTGCTGAGCAATGGAGACAAAGAGTGTCTGCAGGTATCTGGCCCTCAAGACTAGACTAATTGAGGAAGTCCAGGTCCCAGAGACAGACTCTGTTCAAAAGCATAAAAACCAAGTTCCTGAGAACCTCTGGCCTCCATGCATATGTACACACCCACATGAGTGTACATACATGCATATGCACACCCACACACAAGAAAGGAAGAAGGGAAGGAAGGAAGGGAAAGAAAGAAAGAAAGAAAGAAAGAAAGAAAGAAAGAAAGAAAGAAAGAAAGAAAGAAAGAAAGAAAGAAAGAAAGAGAGGCCAAGATTATGAGAAACAGGCCAGGACATGTGTATTTTTAGAGTCAGGAAGAAAATAAGTAACCCAGGACTCGATCATTACCTAGGACAGTAAGGTCGTTTGATTGGAGTTAGCAAGATGGGAATTCATTCCATCTGCTCTGACAAAAGCCATTTCACTAACACAAATGCTTCCTTTCTCCTTTCTGCAAGGCTGCTATGGCTGAAATAATTGCCATAATTGGCAGAAGTTTTTTAGTTAAGAGAGTGACTCTGCCCAGGAAGTTGGCTTAGAGAGGCTGACTGCAGGTCCAGGGCCCACCTGCTGTTGTTGTTAGAAGGGACCAGCAAGACAAGGACAGGTGAAGGTGGGAAGCAGATTACCTTGGCTCTCTGGTTCTGGAACCACACCTGAACCACACGGACGCTCAGCCCTGTCTCCGCAGCCAGAGTCTCCCTCACCTGGAAGAAGTTGAACACCTGTGTAAAACACGCACTGACCTCCCAGATTAGGAGGCAGAACATTTCCCGGGTAGTACAGGGTGAGGCATACGTCACATTCTCAAGTAGAGACTAGTTCATGATTGATGTTCAAATATACCCAAACACAAGCTTATACTTCCTTTCTGGTAGAGAAGGCGTCATTCACAAGGTAAAGAAAGAAAGGAAATGCTCGTGTATTTAGATGAACATTCCCAGGAGGCACTTCAGAATCCTTATACTCTGAAGTTAAGGCTCTATGTGGTCTACTGGAGGAGCTGACTGCTCTTCAGCTGTAGGCTTTCACATGCTTTAAACCACTTAAGGAGAACTGAAGTGAAAACCTCTTTGCAGAGGCAAACGGTTCTTTCTCATCCTCTTATCATTGACTCAAAATTTTAACTCTGTTTCCTTATTTCCAAGTAACTTTGTGTGCTTTGTGAACATTCATGGTCACTATTTTCCTTAGTGAGCCCCTCCCAGAGGGAATATAAAACATAAGAGGGCCATCAGAAATGTAGCAGGGCCAGGTGGACAGCTCTGATGCTGGTAAATGCACTGGGGTCATGTTGGAGATCAGGACAGTTGGGATCCAGATGACAGAGATGTGTTTGGTTATCTAGGCCATCCAGGCACCATGGTGAGGGGCTGCTGTGATGGTGAGAGGGACTCAGAGACACTGCCCCTTCTTGACACAGTCCAGAGAAGATGGGTTGAAGGGGTGTGAATAGGTCCATGAGTAGACAGAATAGAGGCTGGAGGAAACACTTCACCTCGACCGTGCACTTGGGACGAAGCTCGGGAGTGAGACGAGAGTCGGTTGCTGAGGTTTGTGCACCTACTAAGTCACTATAAGGAGTGGACACAGAGGTCCTTGCACCTGCTGAAACCCTACCCACACCTCAGGGGTCCCGATAAGAGGCCACTCGACCCATGAAACCTGGCAAGTGCCCAGATGCAATGGCTTTCCCCCTTCCCATAGCTCCTGGCAGCCTCCCTGTTATGATGTCCCAGCTTTCTCCCTGGTGTGACAACTGTGTATGTCATGCCCCCCTCTCTGTAAATGGTCCCTATGTAAGCCTATTTGGGGGTCTCTTACTTCCCACGTGTACCTCCCTCCGAGCGTAGGGAGTTGCAAAGATGGAAAGAGTCTATGGGTAAATCTTTTCCAAGTTCCAATTCATGACAGTATATTACTGCTCAACAAATACCTAATTCTCCCACTCTGTAGATAGGCTAGGCATGTTCCCGCACTGTTCCCACACCAAGCTAAGCCCTCTGGCTTGCTTGAGTCTATGGACTCCAAGTGGATGTAATACGAACGATCTAGAAAGGAGACTTCTGTATCTTCCCAATCCATCCATTATAGCCTCTTGTTCACTCCAATCCTCAGGAGAACAGTGGGTCCCAAGAACATTGCTCCTTCAGGATGGACCCACAAATGACGGACAGGCAAAGCAGACCTAAACCCAAGTCCAGCCAGGCCACAGCCAATGCCTGGCTCAGGAGTAGGAAATGAATGTTTGCCACTATGGGATCACTAAGTCTTTGCTTTGTTTCTTCATAGTAAAGTCTCACTAATACAGAGAGTTGTGCCTAAAACAGTAATCCTAAATAGTATTTGCCACATTACTTAAAAAAACGTTTTCTTTTTATTATGTAAAAATATAGTACCTGTAGTTAATAAGTAGTGAATGCTTGATAAATGGGCACAGATATTTTTGGCAGAGACACCTAGCTGGCCCCAATATCCACCTTTTGCTCTTTCCCATAAGCAGTTGAGTTAAATGTTAGCAAGGTATGGGTCATTTGGTAGACTCATTCCCCAACTTTGTGTAGAGGAAGTGTGACTGCGACACTAAATTCTGACCAGCATATATAACTAGAAGTAGTGGGCACAAGCCCGGGTGTGTCCTCAAAATGGCGGGTGCAAGCCCTCTACATCTACTGTCTCCACCACGGTGGCTGGGAAAATGCAGAGAGCTGGATCAGCTGTTGGGACCCAGTGATGGAAAACAGAACTGCCCTCCCAGGCTTATCTTGCTCTCCTCTCAATATGACATAAAAGGAAAAACACAATTTCATTAAGTCAATGAGCAATTTTATGTAAATGTTCACAGGAATCCTATCTGTAATAGCCCCAGAGAAAATACAACCCAGATCCTCATCAATAGGAGAGTAAAAAGCCAGAGCACATTTAGTAAGTTGAAGATATCATTGGAAGGAATGAATTACTACTCAGGGAATCCCCAAGTCACTACAACAAGGAGACTAAGTCAAGACTCACCCATAAAATGAATATCTTGAAAGATACTGTATTTTATATTCTTTGTTAAGGCATCTTGTTGATATCACAGCTAGCACTTATTATCACAATCATTTAATTACTACTTTATTGTTCCTTGTGGCTCTTCATGAAATAAGAGATGGTAGGGTCCTTGGGAGTTGGCATGCACACAGGAAGTTGGGGGAAAATCCAGTACTTCCTAGGCCATAGTTTAGCTCTCCTTGGAGCCTCCTGTAGGACTCATGACCACCATTACAGACTCTGAGCCACATTCCCCACTACTCAGACCCCCCCCCACTACCCTCTAATATCCTAGGGGAGTCCAGCTGCACACAGATGAAGGGGCCTTGCTCCCTTCTCCCCCTCTTATACCTTTCTGCAGGGCTTGGAGGATACTTCAAATGAGGCCTTGAATGCTCTCCTCTGCTGGGTTGTCAAGATGGTTCTGGGACGTTTGGGTCTCTTATGGTCCTTGCCATCCTCTGAAGCACCTTTCCCTGCCCCATGGGCTGACTTGCAGAGACTCTCTTCATCATCACTTTTGCCTGAAAAGAAGCAGAGAACAGTGTTCCCAGTCCCCAGATGTACCTCATGGAGCTGTACGTTGTTCCATAATAAGCGCTGGGATGCCACAATCACATGATGGCGTTAGGTATAAGTGTAATAACCTGTGTGGTGCTAACCTAAGAGCTTCCAGAAAGAGGCTAAGAAAACACTTCTAAGGCTCAGAGGCAAGAGCAGAAAGTCTGCAGTCAAAAATACTCTCAGGGCTTTAGCATAGCCTGATGTCCTGGCTGGACATTTATCAGCTGTGTGGCCTTAAGGAAGCTAATCAACTCTGACTCCATTTTTCATGTGAAGAATCATGACGTAAGAAAGTCTGCTTCCAAGGAATTGATGTGGAGATGAAATGGACCTTTATATTAGTAAGGCATTCAAAATGCTGTTTAGAATATAACCGATACCCAGTAACTGTTGGTTACTACTGTGATTTCCTTGTTGTCGTTTTTCAAAACTAGACCTCAAGAACTCAGGCAAAACTTCCCAGAACTATGTCAAAAATTTTAGCTACTGTAAGGAAGTAGAAAATATTACTGTTTAAAGGGTCATCAAAAATCAGCATCATGCTATCTATAGGCACAGATGACTGGAAATGACCAGGTAACACAAAAAATTCATCAAAACTTCTGGTCTATAAAACAAGCAGCTCCCTAAGAAAGGTATGTGAATTAATTACTTCAACTCAACCAGCAGAGTGAGAAATACAGGGATATTTTCTCTTTATTTTTATTCTTTGAGAATTTCAAAAAATATGTATACAATGAAATATAATCATATCCACCTCCATTTCTCCCTCTCCAACTGCCCCCAGGTCTTCTCACACAAAGCCTACCTCCCAACTTCATGTTTTCTTATACTTCTAACTCACTAAGTTCGTTTAGTGCTTTCCAGGTGTGCGTGGATGTGGGATCATCTACTGGAGCATGGGCCATACCTCCAAAGAAGGAGGCACCCTTCCCCAGTAGCCATCAGCTACCCATAGGTTCTCATTTAGCAATGGAGCCTTGTAAGCTCCCTCCTCACACATGCTAGAATCTCGGCTGGTTTGAGCTTGGGCCGGCCCTGCACAGGTGCCATGAACTCATGAGTGCCATAGCCACGTCATGCTCAGAAGACAGCATTTCGTTGTCCTATCCGCTGGCTCTCACGTTCTCTCTGCCTCCTCTTCCATCTGTCCCCTGAGCCTTGACTGGTCTGTAGGAGGGTAGTGCATTAAGACGAGACCTGGGCACTCGCAGAATATACAACTGACAATGGCTCATGATGCCCAAAGTAGAAAGAAGTCTTTCATACAGATAGTTCTCAGAGGTTCAGAAGGTGTGTCTAGGGTCGAAGAAAGGCCAGGGTGAGTCACTTCTTTTTCACTTTGTGCATTAGGAGCCCCTGGGAATTGTAGATCCAAACTATCCTAAAGAGACTCTCCACTATCTCTGGGTCTTAGGAAGCTTCCCACCCTCCTTGCAGTGAAACCCTACCTCATGGGCTTGCCCTGCCGCAGCCCCTCTGGCTGCTTTTAAAAAGCCCACCAAACAGCCCCAGTAGTTGCATGACACAGGCACTGTTTCTTTATTCCTGCCCCTTCCATAAAGGAGGCACATTTGTACATGACTGCTGAGTTAGGATATGAGCTGAGTTCTAAATTGGGACTCTACCAGAGCCAAAGACTTCTTTTATATGAAAGAGTAATGTTTTTCTCTTTCTATAGACATTCAAAGCATGTAACTTGAATGTGAAGGGCCAGTCAATTGTGAATCCCCTGAACTGAAAGGAGGCTGAGGTAGGCAGGCGCTCCGGCCCCTTATTAGCCCTTTGCTAGTCATATCATGTCCCCGGTTCCCCAGATGGTTTCCTCCACTACATACTGATGACAGTAACATCCACCCTGGGGGTGTCCCAGAAGCACGGATGCTATGTACAAAGAAGCTCACATGACCCCATCACACAGGTAATGCTTAACACATGCTGTAGAAAGGTTATATTCTCTTTATGCCTTGCTCTCCACCAAAAGTACAAATAAAAGACCCTGAGAGATTAAGGAGCATTAGCACTGGAGTCCTCACGAGGAGAATGATGCCCCCGTCTCTCCTTTGGCTGTGAAGCTGCCCTCTCTCAGGAGGTTTGCTGCACTTAATATTAGTCATAGCTGTGCAAAGGGTTTTCAAGGCAATCCTAGGAGGTTCGCAGAATAGCAAGAAGAAAATAAACATTGAAAGTAAATGCCCTGGTAAAATAAGATGATCCCCCAAGAGGCTAAAGGTAGAAAAAGAAAGTCATATCCATATATATTCACCCTCACAAGGCCTTAATGCAGGTCGGAGACTCCCTCAACCCCTGATGAGGGTAAAGAGGAATTTCTGGTATGACTAATACTTCAGAGACACTTTGAAGGAAATAGGAATGACTGGCATCCCAGGCCAAGTGACATGCAGCTCCTCCAGAAGGCAGGCAGCTAGGAAGGAGTGTGTCGACTGGCACCGTAAATGAGAACCAAGGCAGCCTCAGTAGAGAACATGCTTTAAAATGAAGTCAGGAGGTCTTCAGAAGCCCGTCTTCTGCCAGTGTTGTCAATAAAATGATGTTTGCAATTGTCTTGCAGAAGTAAGTCTGATTCTTTTATAGTCATTTCTTATGGAGTTTAATGCAAATGGATGCTGGAACTTTGGGCCATATAACTAATGAAAATGCGAAATCTAAAATAATAATAATAATGGCCCATATATGCTTGGCCCTCTCCAGGAAACCAGTGTGGCATGTTTTCTACATGATCCCATTCTCCCTTCACAGGAGTCTCTAAACTTCCTCTGTGAAATTTCTGAGAGTAAATCCTTCAGTCTGCCAGCTCTCTGGTCTCAGTTCATACTCCACTCTCTATCCCCAGGCCCCAGGCCCCAGCACCACACCGTAGCCCAAGAGCAGCCATAGGCCACAAGGATGGGCATAGATGTTTCCAGTTGACCTGCATTTCCATGACAGACGCTAGGCCAAATATAGTCTGTGTGGTTCAGTTTAGTGACCTTTCTGCATCTCCATTTAAACATATGCATCCTGCGTCCATGCTCCATTCTTCTGGGCCCTGACTCTGGGGCAAGAAGAACTGTTTATCTGGTGCACTGTGAAGTGGATAGGTAGCAGGATCTGATATATTCTCTGCTGTGGTCAATAACATGCTACTTTTTAACTGGGATGTTGCTACCTGAACAGTCACCAGTGTGGGCTTCCAGCTGTCCTGGTGGGTCTAGGTGCGTTAGATCCTGAAGAGGGAGAGTGGCAGAGAATTTGGAATCTCAGGAGCTGCCCATCCCTGTCCTTCAACCACTTCCTGGTAAAGTATGTGAGTACTAGGAGCCCAGGATGTTCTGTGACTCTCTTGGAGACGCTCTAAGCTACTCTGGAACATTCACTGAGGCTCCTCCCTCCTCTCTTTCTGCAGGGCAGTCCTGCCAGAGCCCACAAACTTCTCCATGAGAATATGTAGTGTGGAATATTCCTCCCAGAGTACAGCCAGCTGAAGCAGACGATGGTAGAAAACCTTCCAACAGCGAAGAGAGCAGGCTTCTTTCACTGCCGGAGCCTCCCACACCCAGATGTAGGCTGGAGCGATCCCTCATAATTTAAGGTGACACCCCTCAGCAGAGATGAAAGAACACCACTCTCAGCTCTCCAACAACAAATGTCAGCATCCCCGGAGGCCATTTAGACACAAGCACAGCATAAATCTGACTCTTAGTGGGGGAAGCCCAGAGATTAAGTCTCTCTATGCAGCCTACCAGAGAAAAATGAATTGGCTTGGCACAAAGTTTGAACATGTTTCTCAGGGCCCTTCCCCCCCACACACACCCCTTTTTTTAAAGTTTGGACTGGTTCAGGGGGGCTGTTTCCCCACCGTCTTTCTGCCCACTCATTTATGACATAAGCAAGCGCAGATGAAAGAGTCAGCCATGCTTTATGGCCAGGAGACGAAGCAGCACTACCTGTGGGGCCTGGCAGATTCATTTCAGGTTGTTGGAAAAATCCCAACAGCCCATAAACAGGGTATAAGATAACTGACCTTGGTCCAGGAGGTGAGAGTGAGGGGGGTGCGAAAGATCTTCATGCTAGAAGAGGGGGAGACGAGAAAAGGCCCCAGTGCTTCCCCAGTGATGAGCCTCATAAATGTCTCCCAGGCTGGGGGAGTAGAGGTAGGCTCTGGGATTTGTTGTGGGTAGAGGGAGTGGGGGAAGAAGTCGGGAGGGGGAAGAAGTCGGGGAGGGATTTATGATGGCGGGATATATAGGGAGCTAGTTCAGCCACTGCCTTGCACTGTATGGGATTGGAATTTCATTCTTTCCGAGAACAGCAGTGGTCGTCTCGGGATATGATGAATTCAAAATAGCGTTTAAAGCCCAAGAGGTGAGAGGTGCAGGTCTTCAGACACGCAGAGTCCATGCGGTTACGGTTCTCAAACTGCCCGATGCACAGTCCTGCGAGGAGAGCCCAACTCACACCAGGGAAAAGGTCTAACGAAAGCTCTGACTGGAAACCAGGGTGATGATGGCTCGGTTGGCAAATTGCTTACCTCGTAAGTGTTAAGACCTGAGTTCAAGCCCTCAGAATCCACGTTTAAGGCACTGTGACTCACACTAGTAACCCCAGTGCTGAGGGGGCAGAGATGGGTGGAGTCCTTAGGCCCACTGGCCAGCCAGCCTACCCTGCTTAGCGAACTCAAGGCCAGGGAGAGAGCCTGTCTCGATGACAATATGGATAGCAGCTGAGAAACATATTCAAGGTTATTCTCTATCTTCCACATGTACCAGTGTGTGCAGGCACACACACACACACACACACACACACACACACACACACACACACACACAATGTAAGCAGGGAGGGGACAGAGAGAGAGATACCGACTTAACCGAGAACTCATTCATTAAAGGCCGTTCTCAAAAGTCAGTCAGCCGGCCTTGTGTGTGACGCGAGGTCAAACTGAGACACAAAGGCAGGT